AAAAGAAGCAAAAATTTTTTAAAAATTTTATTTTTTAGTTGTAGTTGGACACAATACCTTTATTTTATTTATTTACTTTTATATGGTGCTGAGGATTGAACCTAGGGCCTCACATGTGCTAGGTGAACGCTGTACTGCTGAGCCACAACCCCAGCTCCAAGCAAAATTTTTTAATTCATATTAATTGGGGAATTGTCCACCTGGCCTGAATTACACAATTCTTTGTTAATCTTTTATTATGGACTTTATTTTATGTATGGTGCTAGGGATTGAAATAGGGCCTCAGAAATGTTAAGCATATGATTTACCACTAAGCTATACCCCTTAACCTCTGGACGTTTTTAAACATATATAAATATGAATAGGGGTTGGAAAGTCAACGGGGATACAGCTGAGTGTAGAGCACTTGGCTAGTATGTGTGAGGTCCTGGTTCAATCCCCAGTACCACCTAAATAAATAAACAAAAAAGAATGAAAGTGTACTGACCACCCCCCCCCCCAGCCGCTAACAGTTTCAACAGTTATCAACTAATGACTAATCTATTTTTATTTACATCTTTACCTCTCCCTCCCATATTATTGTGAAATAAATTCCAAGTATCCTATTATTTCATTCATAGTATTTCAGTATAGGTATCCCTAAATATACTATGATACATCCTAAAACATTTTGCAGTTAATCTTATTTAAATCAAACATATCCCTTAAGTATTGCTTGTGTTCTTAAACATTTGTCTTAGAGTTTCCATAACCTCAATCTGACTGGTTGCTTCATCATGGTGTCATTTGAAATGTCTCCCTATATTCTGTGTATTTCATTCATAGAGGGATCTAAAATAGAATTTTTAATTCAATTACATGAGATACAAGTACAAAAAATATTTCAGTTGGTTAAGAAATAATGTTTTTGCCAGGCATGGTGGCACCCATCTCTAATCCCAGCAACTTAGTAAAACCTAGTCTCTTTTTTTTTTTTTTTTTTCGGCGGACACAACATCTTTGTTTGTATGTGGTGCTGAGGATGGAACCCGGGCCGCACACACACCAGGCGAGCGCGCTACCGCTTGAGCCACATCCCCAGCCCCAAAACCTAGTCTCAAAAAAATAAAAAGGACTGGGAATATGACTTAATGATAAAATGCACCTAGATTCAGTCGCTAGTACTGCAAAAGAAAAGATATGCTGCTTTATTAAATAAAAACTCCCTTAGTAAAAAGAGAAGACTGAAAAAAAGATACAGCTAATGGGGATTTAGATATAAATTAAATTTCCTGATAATTTGCAAATTTTATACTATTCTATAACTTTAAATTACTATCCTGAAAGAATTTGCTGAAAAGAGGAAACTGTATAGAGACATATTATGACAAACCTTATTTATTTGAGTCTCAAAGACTGGCTGTTCAAAAATATAGCCAAATTTAATGGTTTTATACTAATTGCATTTTATTATTTTTAGTATTTATGTTAGAATACATTAGAACATGTTCTATTGCCTCCTTTATTCTTAGTTCATTTTCCAAGAAATAAAATAACTTTTTGAGTCTGAATAGTGTCAAATTGCATATTCTCTTTTAAGTAGCTCAGTGAGATCCAAATGCATTATTTTTTAAAGTTTATTAATAAAGTTTACTATTTTTAAAATAATTATTTGAACAATACAAAAGATATTTAGAATAATTTTTATAAAGCTATAAGAGTAATAGATTTAGGAGTTGGATATTTTTAAATCAGTGCCATAAGCATACAGTAATATTTATTCAAAAAAGTAATTATAATTTACAGAGAAAATATTAAAATTGGGTTTGACTTATTACCTACCAATTTGAAAATATTTTTAGTTGGATTGTTTATTCAAAGACTCTTCAGTCATCATCTTGTCATTGTGTTTTGTTTTTGTGTTTGGTTCTCCCCCCATCCCTAGCTCTTCAGTAGGCTACTTACAACATCCAGGATCAGAACAAGTACAGTTTCCTCAAACTACTTCACCATGCAGTTCCCAGCAGCTTCAAGGCCACCAGTGTGCAGGTATGAATAGATTACTGAAAAAAGCAGGTAATAGTTTGTCTATTTGAGAAATAGTTCAATTAATGTCCTTTGGTATTTCTACAAAAATGTTCTCAACTTGTGCTTGGATATAGTCTGGATGTTTGAGTGCCATGCTGAATCAAACTTATGGCATGCATTCCACGCCTTCCTTTATGACCCCTGCTATCACTCTGCTATCCTGATTGACATTCTCCAGGGTCCTTTCCTAGGCCCTCTTCTCATTACTTTCCAAGTCTCCTTAGATAATCTAACCAGCCCTGAGACTTAAAGATGTCTGCTTTTTGCTGACAATTCACAAATCTTATTTCTGCTAAGATCATGTAGCCAGCTGCCTACTGAACATCCTACCCAGGTATGTCAAAGACACATTAGACTCAGTATTTTCCTCTTTTTACATACTTTACCTCACCCTCCAACTAGTGACCAAACAGAAATTTCAGAATCATAATTAACTTTTTTCTACTGTCTTCTGTCCTTTTCTTTTTTTGCTATATTGACATGGTACTCAGGTCTTTGCACATACTAGACAAATGCTCTACCACTGAACTGTATCCCCAGCCCATTAAGTCATTATTTCCTCAAACCTGATACCTTCTCTCCTTCCCCACTACTGCTAAGTGGTCTGTTTGTTCTCCCCATCCCCCATATCTTATTTGCAGTAATTTCTTACGTGTTTTATTTACTTTATATTTTCCTCACTCCCAAGTTTTCCTCCTCCCCAAAACACATACCAGGAATTTCAAAAATGATTGTCTTGAAACAGAAATCTCTTCATGCCATCCTCTGAACAAAAAACCTGAGTGGATTCCCAATGTAAACTCCTTTTCAAACAAGCCTCCTACTTATACATATACATTCAAGTCATACAAAACTTTGTTTTCTTGCTAAACGTACTTTTGCACCTGTTCGTCATTCTGCCCTGTTGCCCATTCACCATATTTCTCTGCTTGCCCGAGTCTTTCTTATCCTTAAAGTTTGAGAGTTGGAGATATAGCTCAATGGTAGAGCATTTGCCTGGAATGCTTAAAACTCTGGGTTGAATACTTAGCACCACACACACAAAAGTACAATATAATTTATTCCTGAATCTTTCACAGCAATTTTTTTTTTAACTGAGAATCATCCTTAAAGTTCAACTCAAAAAAAAAAAAAAACACCTTTTTACAAGGGCTTTTCCCAGTCTTTGAGAAAATTTTTTCTTGCTTCTAGGGAAACTTAAACAGATCTTTATATTGGATTTTATGTAATGATTTATTGACAAATATAAGCTTCTGAAAAACAGATAAGCAATAAATATTGATCATCAGTAAATGATTAATAGTGGCTATGTCTGGCATAAACCACTTTGACCGAGGAAAACCTTGAGATGTCTCGAAGGAGGCAACCTTTCCCCTAGTTGTTTAGACAGTCAAGTTAGTTCTATATCTAGGGAACTGGAAATCATCTTTATGGTCACAACAGTACAAACTAATGTTCTGGTGTCAGGACATGAAATTCTAACTCACAAATCTATGGTCAGCATCAGGTGAAGTACTTGCTTGATACCAGTTGTGCTGCAGTACCTGTCCACTAGAGACATAAATCAAGATAGGGAGATACAGGGCTAGGGCTCTGCTCAGCGGTAGTGCACTTGCTTTTTATGTGTGAGGCATTGGGTTCAATTCTCAGCAACACATATAAATAAATAAAATAAAGGTCTATCAACACCTAAAAAAAAAATCTTTAAAAAAGTTAGGGAGATACAGATATAATAATCCAATTATCTCTAATGTACAGTTAGCAAAATGTTTTAACACACACATTATCCTCACAACTCTATGAAGTCATCCAGGGAAGCCTTCCTAGCCTCCTTTCTCAGGTGAGAGAAGAGATGAAATAATTTTCTTGAAGTCCAAGGATATTTCAGAGTACTAAAATTGTGCTCTCTGACCTCATGTCCCAAACTTTTTCTGCTAATTCATTCTCTATACAGATAATGCTTTATTGTCCATGTTTCTTAAGAGTATTAAATTTTTGCAAAGTTTTTCATTTAGAATGCCTATTTTTTAATTTATTTGAAAAATTAGCGACTTTTGTAGATCATGTATGTTGTAGTACTGTACGTAAGATCCTGTTGGGGTAATTAGGCTCTCCTAAGTAATATAGGCCTTTATTTTTAGGTTAAGTGAGTTGTGTAGCCCTAAAGTGTTCATTTTAATGTCTTTTGAAACACATAATGCTTGTAGCATAGCTACAAGCCTTTAATTTGGCTTGCATATCTAATAATAAAATTATTTTCAGAAATGTGAAATCATTGCTGTTATCCTAATGATCAGAGATACCAGCTAATATACTGATTGTAGTGTCCTAATTTTAATTTTCAGCCATGCCACCACCACCACCTGGTGGAGGAATGGTGATGATGCAGCTCAGCGTACCAAACAATCCCCAATCTCGTGCCCACTCTCCTCCCCAGTGGAAACAAAATAAATATTACTGTGACCACCAGAGAGGGCAGAAGTGTGTGGAATTTAGCAATGTAGACAATATTGTCCAGGTAAGATGCTTTTGTTCATTATCACTTTGAAACTTTGCTTTTTTTAATCATGTAAGATCAACTTGTGCCTTGACACTGAATCTGGAATTCTTTCAGACAGAGAATTTTGAACATTTTCTGCATCCAGACATTTATTTCAGTATTCAAATAGTATTTGCCAATTTCTGGATAAAGTTTAAAAAATCAGAAGGACCTGGGGGTGTAGCTCAGTAGTAGAGAATTTACCTAGTATGCATGAAGCCCACCCAGCTCAGGAAAAAAATAAAATAAATTAGATCTAAAGTTTTCTAAAGAAAAAAAAATGAGCACTTACCCTACCATTCCCCCTTGAGCTATATTTTAGTGTAACCAAATAGTCAATGAAGAAACATTCTTCACAGAAGAATCTAGTTAATAAGTACAAAAACAGAGCGGCTGAGGAGAGCAGAAGGAGGTGGCGGCGGCGGGAAGATGCTGCTCTTTGGCGTAAATTGCAATCGATTAGGGATCGTTTCTCAGACTCAAGTTAGAAGTGAGAGTTCAGATAAGTGAGGCCGCCATTCCTGCTTTGAACACCTCAAGGGGAGAATGGATTTATCAGGAGTGAAAAAGAAGAGCTTGCTAGGAGTCAAAGAAAATAATAAAAAGTCCAGCACTAGGGCTCCTTCTCCTACCAAACGCAAGGACCGCTCTGATGAGAAGTCCAAGGATCGCTCTAAAGACAAAGGGACCACCAAGGAGTCAAGCGAGAAGGACCGTGGCAGGGATAAGACTCGGAAGAGGCGCAGTGCTTCCAGTGGAAGCAGTAGTACCAGGTCTCGGTCCAGTTCCACCTCCAGCTCAGGATCCAGTACCAGCACAGGCTCAAGTAGTGGCTCCAGCTCTTCCTCTGCATCCAGCCGCTCGGGAAGCTCTAGTACATCCCGCAGCTCCAGTTCCAGCAGTTCCTCTGGATCTCCCAGCCCTTCTCGGCGCAGACACGACAACAGGCGGCGCTCCCGCTCCAAATCTAAGCCACCTAAAAGAGATGAAAAGGAAAGGAAAAGGCGGAGCCCTTCCCCTAAACCTACCAAAGTGCATATTGGAAGACTCACCAGGAATGTGACCAAGGATCACATCATGGAGATATTTTCTACCTATGGAAAAATTAAAATGATTGACATGCCTGTGGAAAGGATGCATCCTCATCTATCCAAAGGTTATGCATATGTGGAGTTTGAGAATCCAGATGAAGCTGAGAAGGCACTGAAGCACATGGATGGAGGACAAATTGATGGCCAGGAGATTACTGCTACTGCTGTGTTGGCCCCCTGGCCTAGGCCACCCCCCAGGCGATTCAGCCCTCCCAGGAGAATGCTGCCGCCACCTCCCATGTGGCGTAGGTCACCCCCACGGATGAGGAGGAGGTCACGCTCTCCAAGACGCAGGTCCCCCATGCGCAGGCGGTCCCGCTCTCCAGGCCGCCGCCGCCACAGAAGCCGCTCCAGTTCAAATTCCTCCCGATAAATAGGGCCACCGAAGCTCATCTATACCTTATATTCCACCCAGCTCAGTTGTGTCACTTTTCTAGCTGAAGGAGGGTCAGCAGAAAAGACTCCCTCACTTGGCAGGCTTCAAAAGCAGCAGTTGAGGCCTTTCCTCTGCAGGCAGATTCTGACTGCAGAAGTGCTCATGGTTCAGGGCTATGTCCATTGAGGGGCCCTGCAGTTTTCTGGCTAGAGAGCTCACCCATTCCTGTTCCTAAGTCTGTTCAGTGGCAGAGCCAGCAGGGATCAGCAAGTTTCCAGGTGGCAGTGTGGCTCAGCTTTTTCAGAGATGACCTGAGCTAGTCTGGCAAACCTGGTTAGTGCCCTTGCTGATGCTGTGCTATGTCTGCAGGGGACCAACCTGCCATTCCTGTTAGGCCTGGCCTCCCCCACACACACTTGAATTCTCTTCCAACCTCTAGGGTTGTCCCCCCACCTGTTAATTGCTGTACATGGTTCTGGCTTTCCATCTCGTCTCCACCCCTCTGCCCCACATATCCCTTACTCTCAAATTGGTGAGCAAGTTGAGAGCCAGCTCTGCAAGGTCATTACAGAGCCCCCTGTTCTGACTGCCATTGGTGGTGGTCTTGCAGGATACCTTGGCAACGTGTATATTGCTTTTTTTTTTTTTCCCTCATTGTACAGTCAGTACTATAAAATTTGTTTTTGAGTTTTGTAACTTTGTAGCATTTTAGATAAGGTTGTGTTTGTACTTTGTTGTGTAGAGTGATGAAAACGAATTGAATAAACCTAGGATTAGAATGCAAAAAAAAAAAAAAAATAAGTACAAAAACAATGGTAGAAGCAGAAAAATTGACATTTTAGAACCCTATCAAAATAATGGATCAGGTAGGAAAGCTGGTGGAATGAGGCGAACATCATTACCCTAGATACATGTATGAATGACTGCACCTGTGGTGTGACTCTATATCATGTACAAGAAGAGAAATGAAAAGTTGTGCTCCATTTGTGGATAATGACTCAAATGCATTCTGCTATCATGTATAACTAATTAGAACAAATAAAAAATAATGAATCAGGAAAAAATCATTAGCCAATATTAAAATCATTTTTAGGTAGAAAGTTCATGGAAGACTTTAAAGTAGATGAATTAGGCAAACAACATTGAACCTACTGATCAATTATACTCACTGATCATTTATAGCATTACTAAAAGTGGATCAGCCACACATTATTTACCTTTTGATGTTGTGTAAGAGGAAATACATAACATCATCACCACTGAAATAGTTTTATCAAAAAATTTGAACCAGAGCCAGGCCTTGTAGAAAAATACCCTTAAGTGTATTTACTGAAAAGAATAAGATTATATCTACTACCCAGATGGTAGTTTTAAAATGCCATTATCAGGCTGGGGTTGTAGCTCAGTGGTGGAGCACTTGCCTAGCCATGTACAAGAGGCCCTGGGTTTGATCCTCAGCACTACATAAAACTAAATAAATAAAGGTATTGTGTCCATCTACAACTAAAAATATTTTTTTAAAAAATGCCATTGTTGGGGGCTGGAGTTGTAGCTCAGTGATAGAGTGCTTGCCTAGCATGTGTGAGGCACTGGGTTGGATTCTCAGCACCACATATAAATAAATTAAAATAGAGTTATATCAACAACTAAAAAACAAAATTTAAAAAAACAAAACGCCATTGTCTACTAAAAGAACCAGAGCTCCTCAGAAAAATAATGGTTGCCAAGATTTGTGCAGAGGAAGTATAAAATGGGTCTTGAGGATACAGGATTAGGCTTCAAGGTTTGGAACATAAAAAAGATATTGTTAATTTCCTGGTTTTGTTGATTCTACTGTGATTATATAAGAAAATGTCCTTGTTTTTAGGAAATAGACACTAATTATTTCAGCAAAAGAGAGAGTATCCAAGTATCCAACTCGAATTGTTCTCAGAAATATATATATGTATATGGGGGGGATATATATACACATATATATCATATGCTATATACACACACATAGAGTCATGTGCCACATAACAATGTTTTAGTCAACAACATGCTGCATATATGACATTGGTCATATTATATTATAATGGAAAAGGATATGGCATAAAACACTTGCCTAGCATATTTGAGTCCCTGGGCTTCATCCTACACTGCCAAAACAATAAATACATTAAAAAGTTTTGAGTTACAAATGTAACTCAATGGTAGAGCATTTGCCTAGCATACACAAGGCCCTAGGTTCAATCCCCAGCATAGCAAAAAAAAAAAAAAAAAAAAAAAAAAATTACTATGGAACTGAAAAATTTCAATCACCTAGTGACATTTTAGCTATCTTAGCAAACTCTTAGGATGTTCACACAACAGTACAATCACCAGATAACACATTTTTCAGGATAATCCTCATTGTTAAGTGACTCATGAATATTTTTACAGGGAGAAAGAAAACAAATGCAATACATTTTTAGCATCATTTAGGAAATCTGGGAATTCTTTATGAGAGGTTAAACTTTTTAATGGGGGAAAGAAAGATTGGGATAAGTATATATATATTCTTGCTTGCAAAAATATCAACAATATTATTGCCAACGTATAAAAGCAAATTTCAAAAATAAAATTGAATCTGTTCCCATTTTGGTAAAAAATGGATATATGAATGCATATGTATAGAAATGGTCTGTTACTCATGTTGATCTTTGGGAATAGGAAGATATGTTTGGGTTTTTTAAAACAAGTACATATTTATACTCAAGAGGAAGAAGAAATTTTGTCCAAAAGGAAATTTGCAAAAAGCGTGCCCCAGTAATGCTGACCTGTTTTCTCTATGTACTGTAATTACAGCACAGCCCTCAACTCAGCAGTCCCATTATTTCACCAGCTCAGTCGCCAGCACCAGCTCAGCTGTCCACCCTGAAAACCATACGTCCCTCTGGACCACCACTTTCCATCATGCCCCAGTTTTCTAGACCTTTTGTCCCTGGGCAGGGTAAGTGCATCAGAAACTAATCACAGCTTCAGAGAATTTTAGGCATACAATCCCAATCATTTGGTAATTTATCTTGATACTGTTACTTTTCTGTTTCCCACAAAACTGCATTTTCACCTTCCCTCAGGCAAATCTGCTTATTACCAGACACTCTTCTAGCCTTGTTTTTGCTGCTAAATACTTTCACAGCCAGGCATGATAGTGTACTCCTATAATCCCAGCAACTTGATTCAGGAGGGTCGTAAACTCAAGGCTAGCCTCAGCAACTTAGGGAGACCCTATCTCAAAATAAAAATTAAATAAGTAATGGAGGGTCTCAGGCCTCTGGGTTCAATCCCCAACACCACCCCCCAAAAAAATTTTTTTTTAATTCAAAAATGTATTCAGCAAACATTTTTGTTTGCCTTTGAGTACCAGGGATTGAACTCAGGGGCACTCAACCACTGAGTCACATTCCCAGCCCTATTTTGTATTTTATTTAGAGACTGCATCTCACTGAGTTGCTTAGCTTTTGAGGCTGGCTTTGAACTCGAAGTCCTCCTGTCTCAGCCTCCCAAGCCACTGGAATTACAGGCATGCCATAAATATTTTTTAAAAAAAGATTAATGCACACAATGATTTACTTACAAAAGCATTTTTCCTATAGCAGAAAAGTTAAAAAAACAACCTAAATTTTCAACAGTGAGGAATAAGTTATAATATAGCTGTACAAGAAATACTGTACAGGGCTGGGGATGTGGCTCAAGCAGTAGCACGCTCGCCTGGCATGCGTGCGGCCCGGGTTCAGTCCTCAGCACCACATACAAACAAAGATGTTGTGTCCGCCGAAAACTAAAAAAAATAAAAAATGTTAAAATTTAAAAAAAAGAAATACTGTACAACTGTCAAATTCATGGTTTAAAGAATCATTTAAAGGAGAACTACTGGGCTGGGGCTGGGGCTCAGTGGTAAAGCGCTCACCTAGCATGCGTGAGGTCCTGGGTTCGATCTTCAGCACCACATAAAAATAAAGGAATAAAAAAGATATTGTGCCTACCTATAACTAAAAAATAAAATATTTAAAATAAAAAGAACTACTCACAATATATTAAGTGATTTTAAAAAGCAACATGGACATTTCAAAAAACGTATACGCATGTTTGTTAGGCCCTTGAAAAGGTACTCAACGTGGTTCGTCATTAGGGAAATAAATATTGAAACAAGAATGAGCCAGGCACAGTGGCACACACCTCTAATCCCAGTGACTCTGGAAGCTAAAGGAGGAGAATCTCAAGTTTGAGGCCAGGCTCAGCAACTTAGCAAGACCTTGTCTCAAAATAAAAATTAAAATGGGCTGGGGATGTAGGCCCAGTGGTATAGCGCCCCTGAGTTGAATTCCAAGGAGGAAAGGATAAGGAGAATTTACCAAAAAGGAACTAGAGAAAACTCTTTGGAAAATAGGAATGTCCTTGTATCTTTTTGGAATCATGGTTACATAGATTTTTTTTGGTACTGGCGATCTAACCTAGGGTGCTTTACCACTGAGCCATATCCCATAACCCTATTTTATTTTTTATTTTGAGACAAGGTCCCCCTGAGTTTCTGAAGGTCTTAGTTGCTGAGACCAACCTTGAAATTGTGATCCTCCTAGTTCAGCCTCCCAAGTTGCTGATTACATGTGTGCGCCACCATGCCAGGCAGTTACACAGACTTGTACAATTGTTAGAATTTACCTAATTTAATAATTAAAATGTGCATTTTGCATGTTAATTAGCTCAGTTTTTTTAAAGAATTATAAAATGTACTTGCATGTAAAATGAGCCACACACTTTTATTTTCTCCTTTGTAATTCTCTATTCCCGAATTTTCTACAAAATTCTACTTTAATATTCTAGAAAAAGAAGGCTTATCATTAAAAAAAGATGAAATGGTATGTGTCATATAGTCTGGTATGAATGGCCTAAGTGCATTTCTGCATATATGGTGGTATACATGATCTAGTATGAATACCCCAGAGGACTGCCTCACCCACCTTGTAAGAAAGAGTCTCTGTTTATTGCTGACCACAACTTAACATATTTGAAAAGAATATTGCTACATGTGACTAAATCTTGGGTATCTTTATTTAGGAGGTACCAGAATTTTTAAGCATCTTTCTCTCTATTCTGTTTTAAATTTTGAGCCTTATTGTTCAATTTCATTATTGTAACACTCAATTATGACTTCTTCATAGTTATTTTTTTATGCATCTCCAAAATTTAACATTGCATCTCTGATCTCAGTGCTAGTCCCTTGTTATACCTGCCCTTCAGCAAGAGTTTAGAGTATGTCATGGGTGTGTCTTTTTCAGGAGCTACCCAACAATCTTGACCTGCCTGTTCAACTAAAGGAGCCCATGGAGTGGCAAGAAATCTATGCCTTGATTTTCTGTGTTATGAAGCTATCTCCTGAAAATTTATTTAAATTTTATTAAAATTTTACTTACTTTTTTGATTGGATAATACACTGACATGGTTCAAATAACAACAAATAGTTTTAAAGTATATAGAGAAGTTTCTCTCCCATCTGTTCCTGCCACCCAGTTCCTACCACTCATCCTTCATCAGCACTGTTATTTTTCTTTTCTTTTCTTTTCTTTTTGCAGTGGGAGAGTACTGGGGTTGTAACTTAGAGGCACTCAACCTCTGAGCCACATCCCCACCCCTATTTTGTATTTTATTTAGAGACAGGGTCTCACTGAGTTGCTTAGCACCTTGCTATTGCTGAAGCTGGCTTTGAACCCACAATCCTCTTGCCTCAGCCTCCCAAGCTGCTGGGATTACAGTCATG